TCATATTATAAAAATATATATTTTTATATATACATATTAAGTTTAATATTAGAGAGAGCGTTCAACTGTCAATATATAATATATATTCTGACACATGATTTCTCTGATACAAAGCATAAAATATTTCGAAAAGCACAATATTCATGATTTTACTGTAACATTTTCACAAGCTGAACGATTAAAAAAATTTTGTGAAAAAAAGAAATCATACAATACTATTTTTATTTGAAAAAATGCATCTGTTTTAATTTTGTTACTACACATGTTTGTTTAATGTAATGTCAAAAAGAATTAAAGATTATTATGTCTCTCTTTTAACTATTCTTCTATCTACTTGACAGTAATTTCGTAAGTACATATACGTTTGATGCGATTCTTTCTCTTGCTTGTGTTATGTAAACATCAATACTGGACAATGTCTTTCTAGGTAATAGTAATAATAAATAAAATATTTTATCGTCGATGTAAACAGATTATCGATAGCAATTTTAATATCTATTGAGCCTTTATATCCTTATAATAATTATCCGCTAACATAACAAATTCTCAATATTATTTTCTGATATATATAGTGCTTTTACATTATCAATTAGACACATAGTAATTTGTTAACAAAAGCATTAAAAAAATATATTTTTATCACATATTACAAAAAGACTATAAAAAGAATGTTAGGCAGTTTCAATTTTAGGTGCTCTGCTCTCATTTTTATTTTAATATATATATAAAAGAAATTGACAATGTCTGAATGTTGAGTGTGAGGACTCGTATGAAACTATATACTTGCGTATGGCGTAAATCTATAATATAGAAAGACATATGTTCAATTTCCAACGAGTTGCAGATCCAAGAATTAATATGTGCACCCTTAATAACATCCCAATATCATAGGGAGTATGACAAAAGAAAGGCAACAGCTTATAACCGAGTCTATGAACTAGCTATGTATTAAAGTTTTATATAGATATACACTACAGTTGTTGCTTCGTTAACATTTAAAAAATATATTTTTTTGTACATCCGTAACATAGCTAACGGAACGTTGCGAATGAATAAGATATTTTATAATGGACACATAACACAATAGAACCGGACCTAAGTATCTTAGAAATAGTTCGAGACTACTAATCTATTAATGACCATTTCAAGAATTTATTTCCCATACTTGACTATACATCAAGCTTCTCTTCTTTTTTCTTATCCCATTCTTTTCATCAGTGAAAATAACGGTACATTACTTATTACATTTTGTAATAAAAGTATTATTTTGAAAGAATGTTACTTCTCGATTCATCAAAATATTATTTCATAAGAAACATGATTGCAAGGCTGTTCTCGTGATAACAACAAAGATATTTTATACAAAGAGAGGAAAATTGAACGAATAATATTACTAATATCAAGTCGGGAAACTATAGACATCAATAGGTTGTTCTCTCGTTACGTCATTCAATTTGTCACAGCGAACATTTAACCAAATTTTTCAAAGTATTCAACGGATTATTCAAACAAATCGATCGGAATATTTTCGTAAGTTTAATGTATAAAAAAAAGTGGAATATTTTGAATGCATATTAAAATAAAAATAATATAAAATGCGTATCGATATTTTTGCATTATTCTCATTATTATTAAATAGCTAGCTTTATATTTGACTATTAACGTATATGAAGGTAACAAACTAATTGCCAATTATTTATAAAAATAAACAATTATAAAAATATTTCTTATAACTATTAAGTATCTCGTAATCATCATACATATTTTCCTCCATCTATCATCAATACATTATGTCATATAATAATAACCAAAATTTATAGTAAATAAATCAATATTTCAATTGACACAGTTATTGATGTTGGGGAAATGGATGTTGAGAAGTCATGTTGGGAGGAAAAACGAAATGTCTGATGTGTTGAAATTTTCGCTCACGGTTTTAGCGGTCGCAGGATGCTGGCGACCAACATCGTGGACGTCGCTGTTTAGAAACATAATGTATAACGCTTACACATTATTAGTAGTTCTAACACTATATACATTTGCAATCACTCAAGTTATGGAGCTCATATTGAACGCCGATGACGCTGATACATTCGGTGACTCCTTGTTCAATGTTATAATTTCGCTCCTGGCGTGTTACAAGACAATTGTTCTACGTAAAAGTCATGAGAGTATTATAATGATAATTAATAATCTTACCGAAACGCCATTCAAACCGTTGGATCTAAACGAAAATATGATTCGAGAGAAATTTAACAAGAGGATAACGTAAGTGTCTTAATATTTTATTATATATATATA